TGAGCTTAATCCCAAGCTACCGAGAGTATTTCGCCCTCACGGCAGAGCCTGGCAAGCTACTCATGATGTATTCGATACGACAAACACAGTAACAACAAGTCTCATGATAGAGACGTTACTGGGCCCGCTCGAGCAAATTGATTTTAATTCACATTTCCCTGATGACTTGAACCTACTTCCTAAGTATGTCTCCATTCCCTTCATTTCACTTATGGTTGGTACTCCAGATCTTCCCATAATTATAAAAAGAATCTTATAAAAAGTTTTCCTCGCTCCAGAGCAACTCAGTAATTCTTCCCACAGTGATCAAAGTAAAACTTTACAAAATGGCAACATAACTATATTCTGTGTGTACTGGGATACAGTTGATGTAATAGACAAGTTATTTTGTGTCCAAATATCAAATCTTGGCTTTTTCCTCCAGTTCTCAGTCTGTGATGCAAACAAAGTTTCTCAAAGATACTTTTATTTTGCCTTTGCTCTTCCCATTGTAAAGCCAGAGATAGAAATGTAAGGGCCGCCCCGGCTAAGAGTCATGAAAGAGTTACGTGGTAGGAAAGAGTTAACCAGAAAACTGTAAAATCTGTGAAAGCTAGAGTTGCAAAAGCTGGCTCGAAAGAGTTATAATGTAGCTCCCACCTACACCCTGCTAGGACCTTGTGGTTGGGCCACATATGGGGACATGTGTGAGGAAGTTAATCTTGAGCAAGTGTCCTGCTGTTCTTGGGAAAGCTGCATATTGCTGTACTGTAAGATTCCTTTTCTTATTCTTGGTTATAAAAACCCACTGTCCTTTGGCTCGGGGCTCTCTACCTCTGTCCTGTTTGCAGGCCGTGTAGTGAGCCCCAGCAAGCTTGGACGATAAACCCTGTGCGTGTTGCATGAGGAAGTCTCTTGGAGTCTTCCTTCACGGGCAGCGAGCGTCTCGACCCTAACACCATGATCCCCCTCCTGACACAGAACTGATCATGCTCTAGCTAAGTTTATCCCCATTAAATTTCATCTGTGAGAGCAGAATTCACGTTTGATCACTTGTTTTCATGCCTATTGGTGCACTTAATTTTTGTAAAATTGATGAATCACTTCATTAACATTAACTTTCTGAATATTAAACAAAACTCTGGTAAAGGCTAAACATTAGGAATGAATGGAAAGAAACTCGGGCTTGGTACTGTATAGTTATTTGGAGTCTAATCTTAATCATGCTGTAATTACCGTAAAAATTACAATAGTAGTTACAATTACTACTGTTTCTGAGCCTCACGCAGCTGTACTTAGGTCTCACCTCTTGCTCTGCTCTCAGGGATCACTCCTGGCAGGGCTTGGGGGAACCATAAATGGTGCAGGGAATCAAACCCAGGTCGGCCGTGTGAATCACCTGCTGTGCTATTGCTCTAGCCCCTCTATCAATGGACTGAACCTAGTAGAAATGAAACAAAGATTTGAGAAGTCATGAAATGGCAAGCCTGGTATTGCTGTCAATAATGCAAATTCTAATCTAAGGATTATGATCGAGTAAGAAGGCATTAACAGTGAAGAACTGGATTTCCAAAAAGAAACCATTTGGGGACGTTCTCCTCTCGCGTCTTGATCGCCACGGTACTGACTAGTATTAACAAATATCACTAAGCAATCTTATGAAAGGCACTGGAGCAAATATTCCATGTATTAGCTCATTCCTTCTAAGAGCCTCTGAAGAAAATGCTTATTATTTGACTATTCTTTCACTTTCCAAAAATTAACGGTAACTTGCTCCAATTGCTTCCATGTCAAGATGAAGAGCTCTATCCACAATCACCACAGGGTACTGACACTTTGTCCCCTTCACGCATAGGTGCAGTGGAAAGCACAGGACTTGTGACTCACCAATCCTTCAGATTTAAACCACAGATCAACTTCTTTCTCAGCACTTTTTACTGAGTCACGACGATGAACAATGTTGCTGCCAACCTGAATGCAAAAGTCCCTTGAATGGTGCTAGACTGAGAATCCGCTGGGTTGGGTCTCCCCAGTCAGCAACTTCACAACACTCAGTCCCTTGCAGACCAACTCACCATGAGTCAAGAGTTCATGAACTTCACAAGCTCTGGGAAGAACAGAGGGACCGGCGATACGCTGCTGTGGGAGGTGCTTGGGGTCCTGCAGAACTGCATGGCCACAAGGCAGAATCCCTTCTGCTCCAGACACTTCATGTTCTATGCTGCGCTCCCTTGGGCTTGATGCAACGAAGGTGCGCTCTGCGTTGGCTCTGGTCTGAGGAGCTGGGGACGGGGGAACATAGAAGTTGCCAAGTGAGGCAGGCGTAGGCCCTTACTCTCGTTTTAACTTAAGTAGAAACTGAGAGTCTAGGTTTTTGTGTTTGTTCTGTGGCCACGCCTAGGGGTGCTTACTCCCGGTACTGCACTCACAATCACTCGTGGCAGGGCTCGGGGGTCCGTCAGGGTTGCTGGAGACTGAACCTGGGTGAGCTGTGTGCAACACAAACGCCCGACCTGCTGTACTAAGTCTCTCCCGTCTCCCAAATTGATGTTTAAAGAGTTTACCTTGCGCAGTATTAGCATACACCTCAGAGTCCTGGGCCCCACGAAAACAGGACGAGAACGCTCTTCGGGTCTCCCAATGAGGAATTGAAAGAACTATGCTAAGAGTATCACACTTCACTCAAATGAGAGAAAGAATCCGGAGGGTTTTTTTTTGCTTTTTGGGTCACAACTGGCGATGCACAGGGGTTACTCCTGGCGGTGCTCAGGGGACCATATGGGATGCAGAAAATCGAACCCAGGTTGGCCTCATGCAAGGCAAACGCCCTACCCGCTGTGCTATCTCTCCAGCCCCGAATCCTGAGTTTTGACCTCCGTTGATGGTCAAGAATCAGGGACGCTCTCTTGTTTTCCAAGGCGTCAAAAATCAGATGGGCTGGACAAGTAATGAGATTTGGAGACGACCACTGGACTAGAGCGGTTACCGACTGGATTCCATGGGACGTCAAAAGACCGCGTGCCCGCCCACCTACCAGATGCTCAGACTACTTCGTCAAGACCCTGAATGATCGGTTTGAGGCTCTTCGTGTTCCTAGAATGAACAGATGCCACTGGGCTACACTAGCACGTGACAGGGACAAATGGAGACATTACTGGTGCCCGCTCGAGCAAATCGACGATTAACAGGAAGTCAAGTGATCAAGTGATCCAGTGATCAAGTGACCTTGCACAGTTAGTCAAAGGCATACACTTTTGGTCATGCAAACCAAAACTCAAAACAACTGTAAAATAAGATAACTACATCAGTGCTTCTTTGCAGTAAAGCAACAAATCATATTTTCTAAAGACTATACTTTATTTCAACTACTTTCAGAAAAATCACTGTAATAATAGTTTGCTATGTGCTTACTATGTGTCTAGCCCTGTTCCAAACACAAAATGTGCTTATTTCCTTTAATTCTGCAAACATGTACTGAGGTTGAAATGATCAAGTGACAAGGGAACTCAAAACACTGGTGACCCAAAGAAACATGCCGGATCCAGTCCCAGAAGCCAAATGGAAGATGAAGCCAGAATCCAGACCTGAGAGTCAGTGTCCAGAGCCTTTTGCCTTAACTACACCATGAAATTGTTTCTGAAGGAAAAACAAGTGCACATAAATTTTTTCAGTTTTGTTTTTTTTTAATTAATGCAAATTCTAAGGTAAATTATGGGACTGCTACATCTTTGGTCCCTGATCCCTATGCTGGTAACACATATTAATATACAGTTTGGAGCAATTCAAGCAGCTACACACGAAGAGTTAGAAGACAGGGGCAGGAGAGACAGTCCTGCAGGCAGAGGGCATTTGCCTTACAAGCAGCCAGCCCCGGTTTGATCTCTTGCACTATATATGGTCCCCCAAGCCCTGCCAGGAACAAGCACTGAGTACAGCAGGGTGTGGCCCAAAACAAAAAACAAAACGAAGGAGAGAGAGAGAGAGAGAGAGAGAGAGAGAGAGAGAGAGAGAGAGAAAGAGAGAGAGACAGCAATTTCTGAACCTTCTCTATACTTTCAAAGCTCTGTAATCATAAGAAGAACACTTATTGCAGTTTTATATTAGAAACGGCAATAATAACTCTAACCTATCTTATACATATATCGAAAAAATTAATAAAAGGACATTTACATATCAAGATACCGTGTATTAAAGACTTGAAAACCTCTTCAAATCATTCAAAAGTCAACACACAACCACTTGAATGCCAATTCTTCCTCAGGTTAACCAATGGTAGGAAACAAAGTCAGATATAAAACATTTGTAGACTAGTATGTTTACAGCAGCATCAGCTCACTGCTTGTGCCTATGTTGCCGATGGATGTGGACTGTAAACTACTGAAAGTAAAAGTACTGGAGTTGAACGAAGACATCACTGGACTTTTTCAAATGAGCTGAAGTCAGTCTTCTTTCAACTTAATACTGAAAGCAAATACCCTGCAGCTAACAGATTTTACGTTAGTGAAGTGGTACAATATTAAAAAGTTTGATAAACAACCTGGTTACCTATTTAATTGCCTCTCAGTTCATACGCTAATAAACAGCTCTGTCCCGTGGCTATAAGACTCATTAAAGTGCAGAAATAATGGAACACTTTGAGATACAGAAGAGTGTACCTAGATCTAGACTTAAAAAATTTGTTTTTTTACAATGCTAGGAATCAGATTCAGGCTTCACATAGGCAAGGCAAATGCTGTACCACTAGTAGCTCTATCTCCACTCACAGATTTAAGATTTTTAAATGATACAAACTATTATCTTTACAAATACATTTTATTATTGAGTTTTGTTTCAGAATAAGACCTTTAAATATTTCACTTAAGTTCACTTCAGTTTTCAACTACAATTCACTTTATAGTTAATTATATTCAGTCCTTTTCTGTATGATACCATTTCCTTAAAAAGCCACACATACTATTTTCAGTAGAGAAAATTTTACTTATTAAGATCAAAGGTAACTAATTTCAGTAAAAATGGAAGTCAACCACCATATCTTTTCTTAAGTTCTTCAAGAGACGTATTCTTCAATCCTGATTTATCTATGTGATTGAACAATACACGTGCAACTGGAAAGGGGAAAAAAATTCTCCATGTTAAATCACCATTTTATAAATCTAACTGGAACAAAAATTAAAAGGGATACTCTGAAATGTAAAACAAAAACTTTTTACATTTTAAAGCAATGATCATTAGTATTATTATAACTCTAATTCAAATATTTCAAAAAGGCAACCCAAGAATAAGAAATTGTACAGCACTCCAATGAAATTCTTTTTTGCTAGAATATTTCACTTTCTGTCTACATCTTTAATGACATAATATAAATTAACTCAATGTAGAAATTTTTAAAAGTGTGCCTCATCTGAGTAACAAGAACACTTTTATATACTACTATGTCAATAAATTATTTTTCAAACTTATAATCATTATTTTGCAATTTTTATACTACTATAACACAGCAGGTAGGGCGTTTGCCTTGCATGCAGCCAACCTGGCCAAACCGGGTTCAAGTCCTCCACTCCCTTCAGAGAGCCTGGCAAGCTACCTGTGACATATTCCCTATGCCAAACACAGTAACAAGTGTGGAGATGTTGGAGATGTTACGGGGCCCGCTTGAGCAAACTGATGAATAATGGGAGGACAGTGACAGTGACAGTGATACTCCTATAAATTGAGCATCAGCAGTGATCGCTACAAATCATGTTTGATGAGCTATTTACTTAAACAAGGCAAGCACCCCGCCATTGTGGTAACTCTCCTGCCCCTCAAACTCAACGCTTTAGAATAAACATGGTTATGGTTCAGTTTTTCAGTTACTTATTGTCTTTCCATTATCTTTTAATGACAGTATTAATAAAAGATAATAACCAAGAGAAACTGGATTCTTCGTCACATGCCAGGAACCACTGTAAGGGACCAAAATTGAATTTAGCTGACAGCAGTAACCCAAGCAAGACAGTAATCTGGGCAGGTCACTCTGAAAAGCATATCACATTCTTTGGGTACACCTGAACTTATACAAGTGGTCAGACTCTAGTATGTCCAACAAATGCATGCTGAGAGGCTGTTATAGACTAAGCACTGTTCTCAAATCTGATGCCCAAAAAACAAGGAAAGGTTCCTGCTCTGAGGGAGTTTCATTCTATTATGGGGAGATAATCACTGTCACTGTCGTCCCGTTGTTCATCGATTTGCTTGAGCGGGCCCAGTAACGTCTCCATTTTGAGACTTGCTGTTACTGAATTTGGCATATCGAATACGTCATGGGTAGCTTGCCAGGCTTTGCTGTGCGGGTGAGAGACTCTTGGTAGCTTGCCAGGCTCTCTGATAGGGGCGGAAGAATCAAACCCAGCTCAGCCTAAGGCAAACGCCCTACAGCTGTGCTATCGCTCCAGCCCGGGGAGATAATAAATATACAAAATTCAGTATATAAGAATAAATACATTATCTGCATATTTATTATAAGAAAATAATAATTCTTTAAAAGGTATTTTGTATATTATAATAAATATACAACATTATGTGTATTTATTATTCATTTACATACTAGGAAGAAAAATGAAACAGTAATAAGTAGTGATGAGGGAGAGGAAGTGGCAGTTCCTCCAAGTAGGCCTCTGAGGGGGTGATTGTGAGAGGGAAACTGAATGCGATGAGGAAGACAACAAGATGAAGAATGAGAGAAGATACTGCAAACTGGGGGAGAGGCAAATGCAAGGAATCTAAAATAAGATTAGCAATTTTGTATATTGAAAGATGGCGTGGTTGGGCACCAGGATTGAACGGAAGCAAACCCGGTCAGAAGAGTGTTTAAAAAAAGGAATGGTTCTTAATGAAATTTTTAGGGGCTGTTAGCAATCTGAAAAACAGAAACTGCGATGTTTTAAGACCTTCTCTTTAGAACCTCTCTAAAGGGAGGGGAGATAGTTCAGAGGCTGGCACGCGTGGCTGCCAAAGAGGCCCCCAAGTCTGATTCCCAGCACCTGAACCCCCCACCCCAAGCACTGCTCATGAGGCACCAACCCCCAAATCTCTACAGTGCTCACACATCCACTTTCCCAAGTACAATCTAAAGCTTTATACTGTTATTTTTTGTTTGGTTTGGCGCCGTATCTAGTGGTGCTCAGGGCATTCCCAGAGGCCCAGGCGACCGTATGTGGTGCTGGGCTCTGAGCAGGCGCCAACAGCAGGCAAGGCCAAGTGCCCTGCCCCAGCCTCTCTCTCTGGCCCCTGAAAAATATTTTTCCTAGTGACTCAGACTCATTCCACTTCACTGCTAGGAACTTAGCTTCTCAAGCTAAAAGTACCTGAATATAGTACACTGAGTTTTTGTCATTTTAAAAAATAAAAGAATGCTAATCATTTTTCTCAAACCAAAGTATAAACCAAAATTCTAGGTAATAATCTTTCTGCATAGTTTGATTAAACTTAGTTTTCCAAAGCGACACTTTATGCTGAAAACTGAGATTTCAGGGATCTAATTATTTAGATGCTTATTTAGCGAATAAGGAATCAATTATTGAGGTTCCTCACCTGCCACTCATTGTCCCCTCTACAATGTATTGTTTTCAATATTCTGAGTTCAGTTTTTTCTTTCCTGCTGCAGTTCCTCTGTTCTATATCTCCCATCCAAGACTCTCCTTCACTCCTTTCCCCTGACTCTTGTACTTCTTCAGGGGTTGAGCTGACATCAAAGCTCTCATGCAATGGCTTATACTCCAGTGCACCCCCCCCTCCTGCGCCTGCAGCCATCAGAAACTCTATACAGGTTCCCAACAATAAAAATGAAACCGTTACACCATCACTGCATTTTCAAATAGAGAGACCAGATTACAGAGACAGGTGGCCTATGTTTAAATCCAGGGTCCAGAGTCCTACCTATGGGACCTTGGTCAAATTCCTCGTCAAGTTCCTCCCTATGCCCTGGTTTCCCACTTTGCAACAGAAGAATCATAATCAATCTTATATGTCATAATAACGTTGTTGACAGGACTAAAAACCTTAACTTTGGGGCCAGAGAGATGGGACTGTGGGTAGCATACTGCCTTGTAAGCAGCATCGGTCCCTGGCATTCCACATGGTCCCCCGAGTCCACCAGAATGATCTCTGAGTGCAGAGCGGGGACTAAGCTCTGAGAACCAACAGGAGCTGGCCCTCCAAAACCAAAAAAAAAAAAAAAATGTTTTCAGGGGCCAGAACGATAGCATAGCAGGTAGGGCGTTTGTCTTGGACGTGCCTGACCTGGGTTCAATCCCCAGCATCCCATATGGTCCCCCAACCATCGCCAGGTGTAATTCCTGAGTGCAGAGCCAGGAATAAACCCTGAGCATCGCTGGGTGTGACCCAAAAAGCAAAATAAATAAATAAATCGGTCTTAACTCTACTTAAAGTAACTGATTTTATTATAATTAAATTCGATTGTATGTACCTTGCACACAGTAAATACTAAATATTCACAATCATTTGTTGAATAAAGAGACATGTACGAATATAAAAACAAAGAAATTATAAAGATTTCTTCAAAGAACTTACTTTTTTTCTCAGGTTCTGACATAAACATCACGGCCATATCAAATCGTCATAATTCAGAGAGCCTTTGCAAAATTTCAAAAATGAGTGATGGTTTTTCTTTCCTGAAATAAGCCAAATATAAAAAGCAATAAGCAACTTAAAGTAATTCACTGAATTCTGTTTACTAAGACAATTTTTCTAGTAAATATATATGAAGTCTTCCCCTGTCTTTTTAAAAACAAAACAAAACAAAACTAGAGACCATCTGTATTTTAAATGCCCAAACAGAAAGACTTACCAAGTCAACTGAAGAAAATTATAATATTCTTGTTTTTGGCCCACCTTGTCACCTTACTCCTGACTCTGGCCAGGGGTTATTCCTGACAGAGCACTGGAAACAGTGTGTGGTGCTAGGGACTGAATCTGGGTTGGCCCTGTGCAAGGCAGAGAAATGCCTTACTCCCGCTGGTACTATTGCTCAGGCCCGAGAAGTAGTATTATTCTTTTTGTTTTTGTTTTTGTTTTTTTTTTTTGCTTTTTGGGTCACACCCAGCGATGCTCAGGGGTTACTCCTGGCTCATGCACTCAGGAATTACTCCTGGCGGTGCTCGGGGGAACCATATGGGATGCCGGAAATCGAACTAGGGTCGGCCATGTTGGCTGCGTGCAAGGCAAACGCCCTACCCGCTGTGCTATTGCTCCAGCCCCGAAATAGTATTATTCTTAAATAGGCGGTTTGACACAGATATTCTGCTATACCTTGCCACTTCTATCACATTATTAGCCTTCCCATTAAAATAACATTCAAGATTACTTTTCCCCAAAACTAATAATGCCCTTTTTATGGCTAAAACACACCATCTCTTTACAATTTCTGCAACAGTAAAACTAAATGGAGAGTTAGTTGGACTATATAAGCAGTACTGTGATAGTAGAATTAATGTTCCAAATCACCAGAAAAAATATACATTACAATAGGAAGTTAACTTAAAAAAATCCTACTTACTCAATGTAAAAGTCATGCAGAATTTTAATGATCTGGTTGAATACATCTGGATCTAGATTTTTCTGGAACAACTTAGGATATAAGGATGGTTCAATTTGCTTGGGGAAAAAAATACAAAGGTAAAATTAAGCAGCGCGCCACCTTGTCCCGCAGGTGGGTTGGAGGAGCACCCCCCCCCCCCACGCACCGTTTCGGACTCCCCTAGTCCCAGGAACCAGCGAGAGGTCTTGTCCTGCAGGCAAGTGTGGCCTCGAGCCAGGGGGCGTGGCCTCTGAGCTAGGGGCGTGGCTAGGAGCAGGGCCTCCTCTGAGGGCACCAGCCACTCTTATTTTCCCCTTTCCTAGCTCTTTGGACTCAGGTAATTTGGGGGAGAATACCCTGGCCATCTCAAACACATTATGCCAATAATCCACTAGCTTACCCCAACTGCACCATAATACCCTTAGACACAAGAACCTGTACAAGTCCAATGTAAAAGAATACATCCCCCGAAATGTCACTAGAGGCCTCACATAAGCCACAGAGAGCACATGAGAGGAAGCTGAAGGGGAAAAAGGTGACCCCCATAGACCGAGCTCACCAAGAATCCCGAATCGCACCAAGAGGGAAAACTGATAGTGAAGATAGAAAACTGAGAGACTGGAAGATCGCACCTCCATACTACCACAAGAACATGAAGAAACTAGTCGAAGTGACATCTGCACTTGTTTATTCATTGCAGCACTCTTTACAATAGCCAGAAACTGGAAGAAACCTGAGTGCCCAAGAATAGATGACTGGTTAAAGAAACTTTGGTACATCTACACAATGGAGTACTATGTAATAGCTCTTAGAAGAGATGAAGTCATGAAATTTACATACAAGTGCTACAATATGGAAAGTATCATGCTAAGCGAAATGAGTCAGAAAGAGAGGGATAGACATAGAAAGATTGCATTCATCTGGGGGATATAAAGTAACAAAATATGAGATTAATACCCAAGAATAGCTGAGATCAACACTAGGAGGATTACTCCATAGCTTAGAGGCCAGCCAGGTATTCTAGGGGAAAGGGCAATTCAGATAGAAAAGGGAGCACCAAATAAAGGGTGTCTGGAGGATCCTCCTAGGAGGGGAGATGCATGCTGAAAGTACACTATGGACTGAACATGTTTGCCACTCAATGCCTCTTTTGCAGACCACAACACCCAATAGGAGAGAGAGAACAAAAGGGAATGCCCTGCCACAGAGGCAGGGTGGGACGGGGGGGATGGGGTGGGAGGGATGTTATCCATGGGGGTGGAAAATGGGCACTGGTGGAGGGATGGGTATTTGATCATTGTATAGCCGAAACCCAAGCACAAAAATTTGTAAATCTACAACTGTACCTCATGGTGTTTCACTAATAAAAAAATTTAAAAATAAAAAAGAACATGAAGAAACAGCACAAATCCCCGCCATGAGGGGAAGATGAAGAAAAAGGTCCAGAAGCCCCAAGAGAGGCCACTCACAAATATGGTCTCTCCGATAAGAAATGCAGAGTGGAAATGTTGAAGATGTTCAATGAACTCAAAGAAACAGTGGAAAAGACATCCAGGAAATTAAAAGAGGACTTGAATGAAACAGTGGAATGGGCAGTCAACAGAATCAGGAAGAAATGATAGTAGAAATAGGAAAGCTACAAACAGAAATCATGAATAAAGGATTCAAGAGATGAAATAAAAAACTCAGTGGGTGCCCTCAACAGTAGAATGGCTACAGCCGAGGACAGAATCAGTGAGCTTGAAGATGAGCAGCAGAAAGTTGACAGACAACAAGAAACCATGGGAAAAGACCTCAAAATAGCGAATCGGGGATGAATCCAAGAGGAACAACAGGAGAATCATCAGAGTACCAGAAGGACAAGGAGGCAACTGCAATGAAAAAGCCACAGTTAAGATATCACTGCCGAAAAGTTCCCAGAGCTAGAGAATGCAGGCAACCAAATCCAAGGAGCCCAAAGGGTACCAACTAAAAGAGACCCTAACAGAAACACTCCAAGACACATCATAGTCAGAATGATGGATGATACCGATAGAGACGCAATACTATAAGCAGCAAGGTCAAAGAAGGGAATCACATACAAAGAAGAACTCCTATCAGAGAAAACCCTCCAAGCCCAAAGACAATGGGGGGATATAGTGAAAAAACTGAATGAAACAAACGCCTCACTAAGAATACTCTATCCAGCTAAACTCTCACTAACACTCGAAGGAACTGTACACTATTTCGCGGTTAAACAGCTCAGGAACTTCATAGCTTCAAAACTTAAAAGAAGGACTAGGGGGGCTTCCGTAAGACGAGAAAATCCCCTACAAGCACAACAAACCCTTACAGAAAGATGGCACAAAACCCTGTGACAATAATCTCTCCCAACGTCAATGGTCTAAATGCACCAATCAAGAGACACAGAGTGGTAAAATGGATCCAGAAACTGAAACCAACATTCTGCTGCGTACAAGAAACTCATCTCAACAGTCAGCGCAAACACAGACTCAAAGTAAAAGGATGGAAGACAATCCTGCAAACAAACAACTCCCTCAAAAAAGCTGGGGTGACCAAACTAGTATCCAACAACATAGATTCAGGTTAAAAAAGATTAGAAGGGACAGGGAAGGCCATTTTCTATTTATCAAGGGATATGTACAACAGCAAGAAATCACACTCTTAAATGTATATGCACCTCACGAAGGACCAGCTAAATACTTAGAACACCTGCTAACAGATTTTAAGGAGGACACTGCTACCAATACAATAGTAGTCGAAGACTTCAACATCGCCTTATCACCTCTGGATAGATCAACAAGAACAAAACTCAGCAAGGAAACATTGGCTTTGATGGAACAAACAGAAGAGAGAAGGCTAACAGACCTATACACGGCTTCACACCCCCAAAAGAAATAATACACATTCTTTTCCAGTTGACACGGAACATTCTCCAAAACAGACCATGTACTGGATCACAAAACATACCTCACCAGAATCAGGAAAACAGAAAGTGTATCAACTATCCTCTCAGACAACAATGTGCTAGAAACAGAAGTTAATCATGCGAAAACGTGGAGAAGCAAACCCAACAAATTAAACAACTCAATGTTGAACAATGAGTGGGTCGGGAAGGAAATCAAGGAAGAAATCAAAAGATACCTGGAAACAAATGAGAATGAAGACACGATTTACCAAAAGCTATGGGACGCAGCTAAAAGCAGTATTAAGGGGAAATTTTATAGCCCTGCAAGCATTCCTCAGGAAAGAAGAGCCCACATAGATAACTTGACTTCACAGCTCAAGATCTCAGACAAGGACCAACAAAAGGAGACCAAACCAGGAAGAAAGAAAGAAATAATAAAACGTAGAGCAGAAATTCATGACATGGAAACCCAAAAAACAATACAAAAGATCAATGAAACCAAGAGCTGGTTCTTTGAGAAAATATACAAAATTGATAAACCACTAGTGAGACTCACAAAGAAAGACAGAGAGAGAACTCTAATTAACTGAATCAGAAATGAAAAGGGGGACATCACAAGAGAAACCAAAGAAATTCAGAAGATCATCAGAGACTACTTTGAAAGTCTGTATGCCACGAAACAAGAGAACCCAGAAGAAATGGATAAATTCCTGGATTCCTATAATCTCCCAAAGTTGAACCAAGAAAATCTGGAATACCTGAGTAGACCTAAAATATCAAGGAAATTGAAACTGCAATCAAAAGTCTTCCCAAAAACAAAAGCCCGGGTCCTGATGGATTCACTAGCAAATTCTTCCAAACATTTAAAGACTTACCAAAAGCTATTGCCAGTTCTCCTCAAGCTCTCCCAAGAAATCAAAGACCAATAAACCGTCCCAAATAGTTTCTATGCGGCACAAATCTCCCTAATACCAAAAGCAAACAAAGACGCCACAAAAAAAAAAAAAGAAAACTATAGGCCGATATCCCTGATGAACACAGATGCAAAGATCCTCAACAAAATATTAGCAAACGGAATCCAACAACTCATCAAAAAGATCATACACCACGACCAAGTGGGATTCATCCCAGGGATGCAAGGATGGTTTAACATTCGGAAATCAATCAACATAATCATCATATCAACAAAAGAAAAGATAAAAACCATATGATCATATCAATAGATGCAGAGAAAGCATTTGACAAGATCCAGTACCCGTTTATGATGAAAACTCTCACCAAAATGGGTATAAAAGGGACTTTCCTCAAAATAGTCAAAGCCATCTATGACAAACCTATGGCAAGCATTATCCTCAGTGGGGAAAAACTAAGGGCCTTCCCTCTAAGATCAGGGACAAGACAAGGATGCCCACTCCCTCCACTTCTGTTTAATATAGTACTGGAAGTACTTGCAATAGCGGATAGGCAAGAAAAAGACATTAAGGCATTCAGATAGGAAAAGAAGAAACCAATCTCTCATTATTCGCAGATGACATGATATTATACTTAGAGAACCCTAAGACCTCTACCAAGAAACTCCTAGAAACAATAGACTTGTATACTAAAGTTGCAGGCCGGAGTGATAGCATAGCGGGTAGGGCCTTTGCCTTGCACTCAGCTAACCCAGGTTCAATTCCTCTGCCCTTCTCGGAGAGCCCGGCAAGCTACTGAGAGTATTCCACCTGCATAGCAAAGCCTGGCAAGCTACCCATGAAGTATTCGGTATACCAAAAAACAGTAATAAGTCTCATAATGGAGACATTACTGGTGCCCCCTTGAGTAAATCGAAGAACAAATGGGGGACAGTGCTACAGTGTTATAGTAAAGTTGCAGGCTATAAAATCAATACCCAAAAGTCCATGGCTTTCCTAGATGCAAATAACGTGAGAGAAGAAAATGACAGGGAAAAAAGAAACCCCGTTCACAATCGTGCCTCAGAAAATCAAGTACCCTGGAATCAGCTTAACTAAGGAGGTAAAAGACCTGTACAAAGAAAACTACAAAATGCTACTTCAGGAAATAAAAGAAGACACAAGGAAATGGAAAGATATCTCCTACTCATGGATTGGGAGAATTAACATTGTCAAAATGGCAATACTCCCCAAAGCATTGTACAAATTCAATGCAATCCCTATAAGGATGCCCATGACATTCTTCAAAGAAATGGAGCAAACATTCCTGAAATTTATATGGAACAGTAAGCCCCCACGAGTAGCTAAAACAATTCTTGGGAAAAAGAAAATGGGAGGAATCAACCTCCCCAACCTCAAACTCTACTACAAAGCGGTAATAATTAAAACAGCATGGTACTGGAACAAAGGCAGAGCCACAGACCAATGGAACATGGTTGAATATACTGACACCCCTCCTCGCCCCAAATATATGACCATCTAATCTTTGATAAGGGAGCAAGACATGTGAAGTGAAGCAAGGAAAGCCTCTTTAATAAATTGTGCTGGCAAAACGAGACAGCTACATACAAAAAAATGGGCTCGGATCTCTACCTAACACCATGTACAAAAGTAAGATCAAAAAAGATTAAAGACCTCAACATCAGACCAGAATCCATAAGGTATATTGAAGACAAGGTTGGCAAAATCTTCCACGACATTGAAGCTAACGGTATCTTCAAACATGACATGCCACTGGTCAAGCAAGTGAAAACAGAGATAAACAAATGGGACTATATTAAACCAAGTTCTGCACCTCAAAAGAAACAGTGACCAAAATACAAAGACAGTCTACAGAATGAGAAAAGATATTCACCCAATACCCATCTGATAAGGGGTTGATATCAAGAATTTACAAAGCACTGGTTGAACTCCACAACAAGAAAACTTCCAACCTCATCAAAAAATGTGGTAATGAAATGGAACAGAAACTTTCTCAAAGAAGAAATCTGAATGGCTAAAAGGCACATGAGAAAATGCTCTATATCACTAATCATCAGGGAGATGCAGATCAAAACAACAGTGAGATATCGTCTCACACCACAGAGACTGGCCCACATCCAAAAGAACAAAAGCAACCAGTGTTGGTGCAGGATGTGGGAAGAAAGGGACTCTCCTTCGCTGCTGGTGGGAATGGCAACTGGTTCAGCCCTTTTGGACGATTCTCAAAAAATTAGAAATTGAGCTCCCATTTGACCCAGCAATACCACTCCTGGAAATATAACCCGGAGAGGCAAAAAAGTACAGTCGAAATGACATCTGCACTTTTATGTTCATTGCTGCACCGTTACAAGAGCCAAAATCTGGGGAAAAAAAAAAGTGCCCGAGAACAGATGATGGGTTAAAGAAACTTTGGTACATCTACACAAGGGAATATATGCAGGTGTTAGAAAAGATAAATCATGAAATTTGCATACAAGTGGTTCCATGGAAAGTATCATGCTAAGTGAAATGAGTCAGAAAGAGAGGAACTGACATAGAAAGACTGCACTCATCTGGGGAATATGAGGTAACAGAATGGAAGACAAACACCCAAGAGTAAGTATCAGGAGGTCTGCTTCACAGCTTGGAAGCCGGCAGCACATGCTGGGGGAAAAGACTACTCAGATAGAGAAGGGAACACCAAATAAAGGGTCTTTGAAAGATTCGCTCGGGATAGGAGATGCGTGTTGAGAGTAGACTATGGACCGAACACGAGGGCAACTCAATACCTCTACTGCAAACCACAACACCCTAAAGGAAAGAGAGCAAATGGGAATGAGCTGCCACAGAGGCGGGACAGGGTGGGGGGATGGGGAGGGGGATGGCAGGGCTACCGGGATCACTGGTGGTGGAGAGTGGGCACTGGTGGAGGGATGGGGACTCGATCATTATATAACTGAAACCCAAGCACAAAAGTTTGTGAGTCTACTGCTGTACCTCATGGTGTTTCACTAATAAAAATTAAATTAAAAAAAGATAAAATTAAATTATGAAAACATTCAGGGACCACAAATTATATAACTGATTAGATGATAAGCAAATATAGCAAAGAATAACTACCATAAGCACTATAAGCAAAAGCACTGAGTGAATAATGAGGTTGACACTGAACGTAATTATGACAGAATAAAAGTAACTAAAGATACTTGGATCTCTGTTTAAGCCAGTTAAAAATTTCATAAACAGGGACTAGAGAGACAGCATACCAAGTAGGGTGCTCGCCATGCATGACATTGACCCAGATTCAATCCCATATGGTCCCCCAAGCCCACCAGGAGTAATTCCTGAGTGCAGAATCAGGAGTAACCCTTGAACACTGCCGGGTGTGATCAAAAAGAAAAAATTCATTAGCAGAGAGACAGATATACTACCCTGAGACAGGAAATCTGAAAGTTCAAGAAGCAATAAAATAATTTAAGATATTAAAAAATAAAATTACATGAGAATATAGATTTAGGAAGCAATGGCATACTTCGTAATTTCAAGAAATAATCTGAAATTATTTTCCTGAAAAATCCATTATTTAGCAATCCATTAATCCATTATTTAGCAAATTTCTTATGATTTGATTATTTTTCTAGAAGCAACCAGAAGCTTGCTTTTAGGCCAGATATTGCAAGCATTGCTTAAAACATAGACGGTACACAATGTATTTTAGCATTTTTCCCCAGTTAAAAAGGTAATAAATTTATGATACCAAAATTTATATTATTTTCCTGGAATTTCTATAGACTCTATTTTCAAAGATTTCCCTGGGTGCAAGTATTTGCAATGGTCCTGTCAGGATAATATATCCTATCAGGCAACGGGTAAGAATGGTTTCTATATAAATATACAAAAAAAAAAAAAAACCTCTACTACTACATCCGGCTGCACAGGGTGATGCAGCGTTTTATTTTGAGGAGGACGAAGAGAGCTGTGGAGAAGCACTTAACGAAGAAGTATGGAACATGTGCTGAAGTGCCACCTCTCCAGCCGACAGAAAGCTTCTTATGAGGACGTCATCCTGCAGTCTGGGTGAGTCGGCCTGCTCCTGCTCCCTGCACCTGCCTTCCTTCCTTGTTTTTTAACCCTTTTTGGGGAGCGAGAGCACAGTGGGGAGGGCGTTTGCCTTGCACACAGCAGACTGGGGTTTGACTCCTCCGCCCCTCTCGGGGAGCCCGGCAAGCTACCGAGAGTGCCTGCCCGTGTGGCAAAGCCTGGCAAGCTACCCCTGACCTATTCCATATGCCCCAAACAGGAACAAGTTTCACAACGGAGGCTTACTCTAGCAAACAGATGAACAACCGGAGGACACTTTAGTAACAAAAGGGGTCCCTGAACGTCTAGCTACAATGCAACTACTAGCTGCTCCTTACCTTCAAATACTGATACAACATATCTGGAGAACTTTTCAACTGTCTGAAATCAGATTCAAGTTGGAATGAGTTTGCAGGAAGAGGCGGAAGAACAGCTGTGATAAACGGAGTCAAGCCTTTGTCTGCCTCTGTAGAAATCTCACTGAATGCCGGACACACATTCGACCTCAAACTAATTGGAGGTCTGAAATATTGCAGAAGCACCAGTCAACAATCACAAAAGAACCATATAAAAAGTTACGAGTTTACATAAGGAAGGGATCATTTTAATTTCTACGACGATTAGTATTGTATATATTGTGTTGTTCTGGGACCACACCCAGTCACGTTCAGGGGTTACTCCTGGCTCTGTGCTCAGGATCACTCCTGGTAGGTTCGGGAAACCATGTAGGATTCCAAGGAGCCAAAACACAGAGGGCCACATGCAAGGCAAGAGCCCTACCTGCTGTAGTATTTCTCTGGCCCCAATATCATATTCTTAAAAATGACTGGATTACTCTAACTGAAGCATACATATTTTTAACAAGACAGATTAAGCCTCTGAAAATTCCCACATGCAGAGTAAATAATCTATTCTTGTATGTTCGGCCTTATTAAGCTGGAAGCCATTTAAACACATCATTTTTATACCCCTCATTACTACATTACATATACATAAAACTCAGCCCTTCAGAATCCTGAACAGTTTTAGGAAAGATAATCCAAGAGGGAAAGAATGTTCTTCCTTCTTAAAAACAGAACAAAAACTATGTAAAATGTTAATCCACAATCCATCAACTCACATGTATCACTATAAACCAAAGTATGACTCTGTGGGGTGTTTGCCTTGAGTGAGGCTACTTGGGTTCAATCCCCAGCATCCCATATGATTCCCGGGGCCCCTGCCAGGAGTGATCCATGAGACCAGAGCCAGGAGTAAGCCCTGAGCACCACCTGGTGTGGCTCAAAGCCCAAAAAATAAAAAATAAATAGAAGTAGTATTAAAATTCAAAGTGAAAAAGAAACATCTAAGAGGATTAGGTAGGGCTGGAGTGACAGCACAGTGGTTAAGGCATTTGCCTTGCACACGGCCGACCTGGGTTTGATTCTTCCCTCCATCCCTCTCAGAAGAGTCGGGCAAGCTACCAAGCATATCCCGCCCACACGGCAGAGCCTGGCAAGCTCCCCACGGCGTATTCGATATGCCAAAAACAGTAACAAGTCTCACAATGAAGATGTTACTGGTGCCTGCTCGAGCAAATGGATGAACAATGAGAGGACAGTGTTACAGTGCTAAGAGGATTATCAAATGTCAATTCAAATATATTTAAAATGTCACTACACCAAACAAACTAAATCTGTGTATTTTATATTCTTACCATCAAAAAAATACATAAATCTTTTAGAGTAAGAGAACATTTGAAAGGAAAACCTGGGACCACAGATGCAGGTCAGTGGTCTGCGCTGGCTGAAGGAAGCTCAGGTTTCCTCGGCACCAGGGAGGATCCCCCAAGCACAGGGTAGATGCAAGTCCCTGAGCTCTGCTGGGTGTGGCCCCCAAACTGTTGAGTAACATTGCTTTGTCCTTCAAGAAGCTTAGGTTTTATCTGGTTACACCCATTATTCTGGTTACACCCATCAATCTGGTCACACCCACCACAGTGCTCCAGAGGCACTTCCACTTCCATTGTGTTTACATGTAAACATGTAAACACTCTTCCCTATGCTCTCCTTCCCACCCAGTTAATCAGCTTTCCCCTTAATCAGACTTTGTTAATTTGTAAGATCAGTTTCCCAGAAATCTATGATTTTATATGTATGAGTGAAATATTGCCTTTCTCCTCTCCCTATGCCTTATGAATAGTTTACCTTAAAGTAATATCCTTTTTGTATAGATACAGGAAGACCGTTAACATTATGCTTTGTAATTTAGGATTTGATTGGCCTTGAATATTGTTCACTCCCGGGCATCTTTCTCAACTTAAGTCTCAGTTGCCCTTAGTTCCTAACACCCCAAAAGCAGGGTCCCGACGAGGGACTGAATGGACCCAGGGCAAGCGGTGAGCTACGCTGGCAGCGAAATGGGCCAGGCCAAAGTGCCACGATTCTTAACTATAAGTTAAGAGTTTGATCATAGACAAATGCTGTCATGATCCAAAGGTAACGACAAGACTAGGATCCTGCTAGGGGTGGGAAAGATTATCTGGCCTGAGCACCGTAGTCTGAGATTGAGATGGCCCTAGGAGAGCAATTCTATAAGTTTAAGATATTTCTTACTGTATCCATACAAAATGATTTATATTATATTCTTGTATGCTTGTCGGACAAGGAGAGGAGAGGCACGCCCATGGGATTCTGCTCTAGGGTGGGTCCTCCTGCTGAGGAAGGATCTGTCCTAGGAGAGGTCTTCCCTGAGGCTAAGATTTCTACCCCTATTGATTGCGACCGCACCTAACTGTTTCCCCAATTCCTCATGGAGAGAGGATTTAACTGTACTGTAGGAGCCGGCTGGCAGAAGGAAGAAGAGAGTTCAGAGAGGATCAGAACCCAGACTCCAGAGAAGGAGGATGAAGGGGAATGGAGAAGGAGAATGAAGTAGCTGGGGGAGGAAGAATGGGGGCAGAGATAGAGAGACAGATGAGGAGAGAACCAGAATAAACTACGACTAATACCTACCAGCCTGGCCCTCGTTCCTTCCTCTGCCTGATCATCGCCATCGACCTCTTCAGGGTGGTAGGAGGGTGAGACTACCGAACGCGGGTGGCGGGGGAGATAGAGCCACCGCCGTGTGGGTGCCGCGAGCCCCACTTTGTGTGAGTTTACACACAAACCAAACATTGTTCTTCAATTAGAAAAAATATGATAATAAAAAGGCCTAGCAGATAAAGTGAGGCAGTCTTTTTAAAAATTACATTGACAGGGGCCGGAGCAATAGCACAGCGGGTAGGGTGTTTGTCCTGCACGCGGCCGACCCGGGTTCAATCCCCGGCATCCCATAGGGTCCCCCTAGCACCACCAGGAGTGATTCCTGAGTGCAGAGCCAGGAGGAACCCCTGAGCGTTGTTGGGTGTGACTCCCCCCCACCCAAAAAAAAGCAAGAAAAAAATTACATTTAGAAGACTGGAGCAATAGTATGGGGGTTAGGGCACTTCTGGCTACTAAATCAAATGTGACGACCTTGCACATGGCAGACCTGGGTTCGATCCCCAGAGCCCCATATGACCCCTGAGCTTCTTCAGGAGTGATTCCTGAGCACTGAACTAGGATTAAGCCCTGAACACTGCAAAATGTACCCTCTTCCCCCTCCCCCCCCCCCAGCTAAACATAATTTACATTGACAAGGGCTGGAAAGATAGTACAGCAAGTAGGGCATTTGCCTTATATTACGTAAGGTCCCCAAGTCTGCCAAAAGTCAGAGCTGAACAGAGTCAGCTATGACCCAAACCCCCTCACCCAGAAAAAAAAAACCTGAAAACAAATTACACTGACAAACACAAATCTGAAGTCTCATCAGGGCAAATAAACAGCCCAGTCCCACTTCTGGTCTTGGAGAGAGGCTGCAGCTGAGCAGGGCCAGGCAGGCTCAGTTTCCAGCCCAGATCTCTGGAGCCTTCTTCAGATGGGGGGACCGAGTCCTCACCCTGTGGGAACACCCAAGCGCTCCATCCACACCCAAACTCCACCAGCATAAAAACAGCCCAGCTGAGATGCCACACTGCTCCTCAAAGCACATGGCAGTGTACACCTCCAAACTCCACAATACCAACAGCCCAGTAGGGCACAGGAACTAGATGGGAAAGTTGCCCACTAAGCTCAGCAAGTGAAATCTGTAACACAGAAAACTCAACTAGCATCACCCAGCTCAAGAAATACTCAATGACTTCAGTAACACCATCACGAGACATATGTTATGACGACCAATATAACGTAAGTATTTTACGCATGCTCAGGGGCAGGCGGGGGCAGAGGCACTGGAGCACTGGGGGTGGGAAAATCACACTGGCGGTGGGATTGGTGGTGGACCACTGCATATCTCAAGCAACTTTGTAAATCAGGATGTTAAAATAAAATTTCAGACATTAAAAAAAAAGGAAGTCTCATCAGTAACATCAGTTTTCTAATGGAATTATTACCATATGCGTGACTATAAAAAAGAGATTTCTACTCACTGAACGGCTGAAGTCCCACTGATTTCTTCTATTTTTAATACTTTTGCTTTTGGAACATCGCTTGTGAGCCAAAGATCCTCTTGGCTTGAATTCTTCTTATTTGCAGTGCCTGTGGTTGCTATGACATTTGCTAGATTAATAGGATTACTCTCTGGAGGATGAGCAGCAGTGCTATCTGGCTCATCCACAGTCTGTATCAAATTACCAGTTTCTTCTATAATAATCTTCCTGAGTGGTTTCTAGAACAATTAAAATAATTTTTAAAATCAACATATAAAGGTTTTCTATTTATGGGTTAGAAATGAAAAGGCTCTAGTGTTCTGAAAGCCCGTATTTCAGTTCTAGCTAAATTAAATCCGATGGCTAGACAACTTAGAAATCAAACTCTAAGGACACAAAGAATATGGGCCAGGGGTAGAGCGAAGTAGCAGAGCACTGGCCTTGCATGTGTGAGGCCCTAAGTTTGGTCCCCAGCACTGGAAAGAAAAACAAAAAACACACCAAGAATACAAAGATGCACAGCACTACCATATATATGATGAAAGGAAGGTGTCTATAAAAAATACACACACGTATTCACCTTTAGTAGACTTCCTTTGTTATATGCATTTAAGTGTATATACTTGTAAAGACGAATATATATATATGTTATAGAATAAAAGACAATGTCTTTTACTATACTATAAACTACTACTATAGAAGGGAAAGCCCTAACACTAGCAAACGTGAAAAGGAATCAGCACGGGCATGAGGTGAGCCTCCACAGGTGGGCAATGCAGCGGGTTCTACAGGTCATAAAAGGTGAGAAGGCCCATGCAGAGAAGTAACAAGCAAAGCCTACATGCCTTAAAACAGACTACAAAGGCTCTTATGTGTCAGGTCACATTTGGACTTCTCCAAAGGTAACAAACTCATATACACCCAATCACTTAAGGATTGTTTGGCAGCATATAGCAGACCAGGTAAAACCAGTGGAGTGTATTGCATAATT